ATATATATATATATATATATATATATATTTAAGAGTAATGGGTACTTCATGATGGCATTAAAATTATTTCTAAGAGCATTAAAAAGCATTAAATTAGAGTTCCTCCTTCCTGTATAAACCCTGTAACAATTTATACCTGGTTTGATTAAGGCTTATTAACAGTTTGGTTAAAATAATAAAAACAAATATTTAATAACAGCTTATTAAAGGTTTAGTGAAAGCTTATAGTGTGGTAACAAGCCATTAAATGCAGTTTAGTAAGAACTTATGAGCATTTTTGTAATATACCAAAAATGTATATATTTTATTGACAGCCTTTTAACAATGTAGTAGCATCTTATAACCAGTTAGGTAACAATCTATTAACAGTTTGGTTACAATAGTAAAAACATTTGATTTAATAACACCTTATTTAGTACAGACTTAGATAGAGTGTAGCAACAGCCTACTAACAGTTTGGTAACAGCTTATTAGTAGTTTAGTAATTAGTGGTTTATTAAGAGATTATTATTAAGGGTAGAAGTAAAGCTAAATGGAAAAGTAAAACCATTTAGACTCAGGGACCACTTATCAAGCTGCAGCTAAATTGCTAATAATCCGTTGCCTGGTATCATAAATATGAAATGAAAAAATGTAAATGCTGTTAGAAAAAGGGGAAAAAAGATAATTGAAATATAAGAAATGAATGACCTGTTTAATGACTGATAAGGAAAGATCTGTGCCTTTGTAATGCTTATGGGTTTAGCTGAAGGCTCCCAGATAAAAGGAGCTTTTCGTCCTCTCACGCCCCCTTCTGGTGGAAATGTAGAACAGTTCTATAAAACTTATTTGTTGTTACCCCCAGTAAAACAAAAATATCCAAGTATATATTTCTGTGTTTTCTTATATTAAATAGAATGTACTTTTTTTTGTTTCAGATTATTAACAGGGAAGAACATCAGTTCACAGAAAGATGCAGTGGAGGTAACGGACAAAACCTTGTTCAGAGATTTTATTTTCTTTCTGCTTCATAGCTGAACTCTTTCTGCCTGACTGTCTGTAAGGTGATGGACCTTCTGCACGCCATGGGCCCAGACACAGTCGTTATTACGTCCTCTGATCTTCCCCCCAGACTGGGAGACCGCTTCCTGGTGTCACTGGGCAGCCAGCGTCATGGTGGGTGGAACATGCTGGAATGTTGGACTCTGACAGACATATTTAGATCTAACATAAACCACACCTGGATCCTTTTAGGATATCATAACCTTCAAGAAATATAGAACAATCTAAAAATAGGTTTTAAAAATATGTTTATTCCTCGGTTACATATTGCTTTTTTTTGTCACAAGAAGTTCTAGTGATGCACCTGTCGCTGGAAGGCTTGTTATATGGAAACTGGAGTTTTTTTAGGGGTGTAATTACTTTTGCGAGGCGCCGTTTTTGCTTTGTCACTCAGTTCGTCCAGATGGAACCAGGGTGACGCAGAGAGTCCGAATAGAGGTTCCCAAAGTGGACGCTGTCTTCGTTGGAACCGGAGATCTGTTTGCAGCTATGCTGCTGGCGTGGACGCATCATTACCCCAACGACCTAAAGGTGAACCAGCACATTCACAACCATTCACACCATGAGCCAGACCGTTTCCTGTCAAAACCTAAAGCAGGATAACACTTCTATTCCGTCACCCTTTGCTGTTTCCCACAGACGGCCTGCGAAAAGACCTTTTCAGTGATGCACCATGTCATCCAGAGGACCATATCTTATGCTCATGGTGAGGAAAGCTCTTCCCTCTTAGAATCCTGCATTTGAAGAACTGCATTTAGGGGAATATAAAAGTTAAACTGTAAGCTTTTCCAATATTCAGTCTGCACTAGATGAAGAGTGCAAACGTCATGCAAATCCTAAAAAGAGACTCCCTAACATAAACACCACAGTAAGAAACAAAAAACCTGCAGATAAAAAATGTTACGAAGCAGAAATGCAGCAATGAGAGAAAATAGAGAGCAGCAAGGTGCAAACATGCTGCAGACACATCAATGACGCTAACACACAACCAGAAGAGAACACATGCAAAACGAATGCAGGGTCATATCAGCTGGTGATTGTCTCCCCCTAGTGGTCTGGAGCGCTTCTGTTATGCATTGCTAGTTTGCAGCTTCTCCTAACTTTCAGTTGTTTTTGCTAATTGGAGCATTTGTCCCTTTCATGTGTTTCTGTGAGTTCTACCGTTTCAATTTGCTGTGAATGAATGTGTTTGCACTGCGTTTACACCCTCAGCCATCTATACAATGCCAACAGTATTGTTTTTCTGAGTGGACATAGAAAAGCCTTAGTTTGTTTAGTGGTTTTGTGCAGTAGGCGTTAGATCAGTTGTTTCCATGGTTACGGTTAAAGAGTTAAATGTGTTTTCTTCTGCTCTCAGAGTTGGCAGGTCCCGGTCGGAGGCCCAGTCCACCACAGCTGGAACTGAGGATGATTCAAAGTAAAGCTGACATAGAAGATCCTGCTATAGTAACGGAGGCCACCGTCATATCCTAACATTAACATCCCATAAGACTCGCACTAACCCCCCCACCCGTCCCTCTTTACCCATCAACCTCTAAAAACTGCATCTCAGTACAGATAGCTTCAACATGTCATCATCCAGACCTCTCTAACACTTTAGTATCGTAACACCTTCCTCCTGTTATCCTGAAACCTTTTACCACTTTAAGCCTTCAGTGTCGTAACTACTTAAACCACCCCCCACCCCCCTAACCGTTGTTTTACCCAGATCCTGTTCTGGATCCGGAGCCATGGATGGACAGAAGCTTTGATCTGGGTTACAGAAAGTGGGACCCTGACACGGGCACAAATACACAGACCTGTGATTATTTGATAGTCATTTATAAACTGGATCTAATCCATTTATAAGAGATTCTATCTATTTATGTTAGTTTAGGCCTAACATCTGTGGACTTAATACCTTAATAAATGATCTATTTACCTTTTATAAATGGATTAGATGCAGTTTCTAAAACAATCAAACATTAATAAATTATCTGTTAATCAATAATAAAAGGACTCTTAATCATTTATAAATGATGGTTTTGATGGTTGTTGTAAAGTGTAACCAAATTCTGTTACATAAACTTAAACACAGCCAAAACTGATCGAGAAATGTGTTAAAATTTCTTAAAATATGTGATATTAATTTGAGCTGGTAAATAAAATATATAAAAATATAGTATTTTCTTTCCTTAACATAAGATAATAGGAGCTATTTTTACTTATTTTAAATATAAATCCTCTTATTTCATCCTGTTTAAATCAAGAGAAAGAACCTTAATGTAAGAAAAAGTTTCCTATTTACATTTTGCAATCTGATGACAATTCATTTTGTGATATTTTTTTTTTTTGCTGCAGTTGATTTCTTTTTGTTTTTGAAAAGTTTGGTCGTAGGTTTATCTTAATTTTTCTAATATCTTTTTAAAATCCTTTTTACAGTTTATATTCCTGGTCTTCTATTTAATAAATAATAGAGGCTCATGAAGTGAATGACTGAAGATTTCACAACATCTGATTTATTATTTAACCTTAGCTGTTCTGGGTAAAGATAAGAAAACACTGTTAGAGCTTCATGAAGGCCAACGAAGACATGAGGGATTTAAAGTTAGGTCATAAAAAAGTTTTTAACAGCAGAAGAACCCATCATCTAAAAAATACAGTGGACTGTAAGCCCACTGGGACATGGTCCTAAACAGACAGAACCTCCTTCAGAGGAATTCTGGGAAGCAAATGGAGAATTTAGTGGATCTCTGTGCTTTCTGTTTATCCATCTGTCCATTACGACACAAAGAGATTTGTGGAGACAAAATATGAAAAAAAATAAATAAAACGGGTCTGTTTAGCTTTTGTAAGGTTCTTTCAGATGCTTCAGAACCCGTCCTTTTAATTACGGCTCGATAGTGTTTCCAAAAACAGCCAGCAGGGGGCGGCCATGTTTGACTGAAGCAAACAGCATGTAGGTTCAGTGCTGGAGCACCATGATCAACCCTCTCCATCCATGGCTCTGTCCTCCTCTTATTTTAACCCCCCAGTCTTACCACAGTGACGTAATGGTGACTAAGTCTAGCCCCGCCCCCACAGACCCTTTAAAAAACATAAATAAAAGAAGAGAAAAAACTCACAATGTATAGTTGATGTATAGATGTTGTACTATAATTGTATTAGACCATCTGTATAATATCTGACCCGTCTGCTGGACCATTGTGTTAACACTGTTGTACTATAGACCCGATGCACAACGACATCACCAAGCAGAGACGTCTGGGCTGGTTGTGGCACAAACGGACCCGTCAGTCATTGTATCGTCTTAGTAACCGTCCGATAGTCATATAGTGTAAATCTGAGCTTATTCATATAGAGAAAACTGGATCTGCCTCCACCGTGCCATGACCCCCCCACATTAACCCGAGCCACAGCCTTATATCCCAGGGATGTGCCTGAGAGTTTGCTGGATCCTCAGGTTTGTTTTTTCCTCTGCTGCAACAAAGACGAGCAGAAATCCCCTGGATCTGGTTCAGACATGATGCCTTCGCTGATACCGGCAGTTTATCACCAAAACGATCGATCATTTCTTATTATGGAGTGAATTTTGCTCCATTATTGCTGCAAGAAAATAACACCTTTTATAAATTGACAGCTAAAAAAAAGAAAACCAGAAATGAAAAAAAACGTGTAATTGTTTTAAACAGAAAATTATATACGTCGTTATTTTATTTCAAATAATAATTTTCTTGTAGATAATTTTTTTTCTCATATTATTAAATATAATTTTTTTTTTATCTTATGTTTTCAGTTTTTTTGTTTTTACAGATTTTATATTTTTCAACTTTTTTGAAAAATTGCATTCTTCTTAAATTGCATTTTTCCAGATTTCTTTCTCTGCACTTCTGTGGGCGGGATTTCCTCTGCAGGGAGGAGAGAAGACGCATTTCTATTCCTCTGCTGCACGTTAGCAACAATATTTACATTGGTCAATCACAATAAACTAAATGTGAAAACACTTAACAAAAATAATACTTAAGAAAACTTTTATCTTTTTTTTAAGTTTTATTTCTAGATTTAATTTTATTGTTGAACTGCTATTAATAAAACACATTCTTTGACACAATAATGGAACAGAATTTACTCCATAATTGAACTCCTGCTGATGTGTTTATTAGAACAAGAACTATGATGATGCAGGTGTGTTTTTAAACTGGGGAAAGTTTAGATTAAATCCAATTTGTCCAGTTATTTGGAGATTTATTGTTTTTATGGCAGAAAGCTTTTACAAACTAAAACTGTTCTTTAAAGTAGTTCTACAGATATTAGGCTTATTTAGTCTACTGATTGTTATCTAAGTTGTCTAGTCTAGAATACAGATGCTAAAGCCTTTTTCTTCCTGGGATAGTTGATCTAAAACTGAGTCTTTGTTCAGGGTTACTTAATCAATTTCTAGACTTAAAGCAGTCTTCAGTTTTAAACGAGAGATGATGAAAGATCTGTGATTCTTTAGAAGCCGGATCGTGATTATAGTGACGGAGAACCACTGAGCTGTGAGCTACTTCGATATTTTCTTTGTCCAGGAGGGAAAATGAACTTTAAGAAGCCCTCATCCAGGCAGATGTACGGTTGTGTGGCGGGTTTGTGATTCTCTCCTGTGTCTCTGTGACGTTTTCTGTGATACTGCCTTAGGAAGCTAAGATCATAAGACCACAGCCCTGCTCCAGGTGGAGGGGCGAGGGAAGGACGCATACGTTGACTTCACTGTCAGCACCTTTTTTTCATGTTTTCTTTGGTTTCATGCTTTAAAATGGTTTCTACCCTGAGTTCTATGACTTTAAACATGCTGTATATCAGGTTACCAATATTATGGATTGGTAATATTTTAAACCAGATTAAGGCAGCGTGTGCTAACCTTTTGTTTTAATAGTTTAATAAACTGTCCTTTTTTTAAACATCTATATTTTAACAGGCCACGTCATAAAACAGGTCAGGTGACTGATAACTATTAGTCCTCAAGACAAACCACAATATTAATATGTAATACAGCCCCCTCCACCTCAGTAACCCCCCACCCCCCATAGGTGTCCAGGGTTTAGCCTGTAGGTATCCTCAGTAGGGACCCTGTAGGAAATCGTCTTCAGACATAAAGGTTAAAAGGAAAATATTTTTAAAAATCCAGAATCGAATTTTCTTCCATAGATGTTATCACTGGTAGAATCCGTTCACAGTTTTTAATAAAAATGTGGTTTGAACTCTTTAACAGCCTCTTCAGTTAATCTGTCATACTTTAAACAGTTTAAAAAGTATACATTCCTAATCTGCTTCGGGGTTTTCTATGATTCTTTTTTTAAAGCGACTCCTTTATTTGACCAGAGCAAAATCGTTTCCAGATCGATGTTTAACGAACATCAAAATGCTTGTTTTTCGGTAGATGTCTTATTGTGCTGCTGTAGCACATCGCTAACAAACTGCTGTGGTTCTGGACAAACGTCTGGGTTCTGTAAGGAATCTCTTCGGCCGCCATATTTTTCAGATTAGAACGCGTCAGCGTGTTGGTGACAGAGAGTTCTTCCATGTTTGTGTTAAAGTCTTCTATGGTGACAGGGTTTAGTGTGTGGAGTGGGAACTTATCTCCTAACATCCCTCCTCATTTCCTCCTCCTCATTTCCTCTCCTAATTTCCTCTCTCCTTAGGTCACACTTGCTTTGCAAATCAAAGCTCTGTCTGAATTTTGGATCTGATTAATCCACATTAATGTAAGCGTCAGCTGATCTTTGCTGATATAAACTTTTCCGAAAAAAATTTATGGATTAAACTTTGTTCCATTGTTGAAAATGGAAAACTGAAGAAAGAATTGCAATGTAGAAATCAAACTTTGAAAAACTTCTTGATTTAAAATAAAAGGTTTTTTTAGATTAATTCTGCTGTTTTCTTAGCTTTTCTTTGATCTATTTTCCTTTTTTCAATTTTTTTTATAGCTTCAGTGTCACAAATTTGTATTTTTATGCATTCTTTCTAAATTTAGTTTTACAGATTACATTTTCTTCACATTACATCATATACGAATACGAATGCTGGCTCTTGACCAATAAAAATGTCCATTCAGATCAATAGCACGGTTTCCCTCCTTACTACACAGGAAGCTCCGCCCCCAGACACAAAATCTGAAAAGAATGCAACTCCTAAAACTCATCTGAAAAAGACAAGGAAAAGAAATAAAAGTGAAATGTAGGCATAAAATTATAAAACATTTTGAAAAAAAAAATTAATATGAAAATATATGGTAAAAATAGAATGTGATTTAAAAGATAGTATAAAAAATGATCATTTTTCAAAGTTTCATTGCTGGAATGCTTTTTTTATTCTAATTTCCATTTACAAAATGTGCTGTTTGCTTAAAAAATAATGGAACAAAATTTACTTCATTGCATTTAAGAGCTACCAGAAAAAAAAAAAAAACATGATTAGCAAAACCAGCTCTTAATTGTTTTGTGCAATAAGTGTGTAATAATTTATTGCAGCCAGAGCCTCATTTCTAACAGCA